AAGCGGCGATATTAATCCTCCTGCTGTTGCTTGTCTAGGGTTTCATTGGGTGTTCAGCTCATGGGATGATCTGGAAGCTCCATTTGAGAGGTAAGCAGTGTCTACACCTTTTTTGCTTCTATCTAACATATACGGTTGTTATGTAGCTACCAGAGCGACACGTTTCAAATAAACAAGCTCCGCCACGTCAAATTAGATTAAAGATCGGAACCGTAGCCGTATCAAATAAGCCACGCAGCGAGGAAACGAATTCACGCTCTGGGATGAATCTATTGGATATTATACGAAGACATGAAATTGCACGAATTCGAGTTCTTACGCGCCCCGAGGAACAGGAGCCCGGCAAACCACACTACTCGCCGCATTGAATGCCCAGCTAAACTTCATGCGTTATTGTCTGAAGATTGGAATGGTGGTTACCCTGTATCTGTTCGGAGGTGCGAATCGACCCACAACCACGAGGTCGACGAGAACATCTTAAACACATACACTGAGACATGGAAGATCACTTCTCCAGAGACTAGTAATGTCATACGGACAATGGGGCAAGGTACGCTCGTACCTACAACGATTTTTAGCATTTACAGACATGTCTTAACGGATTATACATCTCTAGGTGGAGCTAAACGAAAGAAGACCCTCCGCTATCTGAAGGAGATTCGAGAAAGCCGCTGATGCTCAAGGATGTGAGCAACATGATCGCTAAAATGCGCCGAAACTCGTATACGTCGCCTGATGATAATGTGTGCGTGATGGAAGTGTTGCAAGATTTCAGTGAGAGTCTTGGGAACTTGGCCAACGTATTCCGTGATGCCGATACCAAGTTGACAAGTTGCATCACATTTCAGACGAACCTCATGAGACCTATGACGCGGCTGTTTCCTGAGGTGATGTGTGTCGATGCAACCCACGGCACTAGCATCAACAGGTGAGGGTTGGTGGCGTTTGTTTTTAGTTTGTACTAGTTGGTTCTGGTTGGTCCTAATTGGTGCTTGCTTACCTTTAGTCTTGAGAACAGCATGATATTGACATGTTTGGCCTGTGTGAATATATATCGCCTTTTCAGCTGTATGTAGACGAGTAGTTGTGCATTTGCTCAACATGCACTCGTCGATGGGGAGACACAAGAAAACGTGAAGAAGCGCCATCTCCGCATTCAAACGTAACAACGGAAACTAAAGTGACATCAAGGTCATCGCCATTGCCATTGACTAGGATTTTACGGAACTACCCACGCTCAAGTCAGAATTTCCTGAAGCGACCGTAATCCTGTGTCATTTTCGTGTTATTGATTACCTCAAACGTGAAGTTGGCCAGCGAGACAATGGATTTACAAAGTTTGAGAAGCTGCACATCAGAAAGTTTCTTACGACTATGGTTCGCACGTCACACGAGAGTGAATTCACTCATTGCTTGGAGGCGCTAGAGGAGATATGTGCTGGGAAGGCCGGCTTTGTGGAACACTTCAAAACGAATTGGCTATCATGCAAGGAGCGATGGTGTACGTTTCTTCTCGGCTATATACCTCATTTGGACAACAATAATATCGACATGCTCGAAGCGAGCTGGGGTGCCGCCAAGGCCAAAGCACATGCCTATGGACGAGTGCATCAAAACGCTGCATTTTATGCATTAATCCGCTGATGGTACTTACAAGTTTTAAACGAAACGGGTTGGAATTCGCACTAACAGCAAGTACGATTACGAGATGAAGCTGCTTGTTCGCATTGCCGCGCATCACGCATGTGACTTAGTAGAGGACCAATACAAAGCAAGCACGAAAGGAGACTTCAACTGCTGGCTTGACCACCTGAAGTCCTTGAACGCAGGGCTAGAGAAAATCTTCCTTTGAGCAGAAGCTAAGATTCCAGATCAGTGGAAATGCTGGGTCAACGTGAAGATTCTAATCTAGACGATCACAGGCTCGATGAAACGTTGCCACAAGTTCTCAATTTCCCACCAGAAGCACTGAGCGTAAGGTTGATTTGGG